AAGAGCTCTACAGTAGTCTATGTTACTCAGACTCGACTATGAGAATCCGATACAAGGATATGACTAAGTGTCTAGTTCATAAATCATATAAAATTTGGACAAATTACACTTTACTCCATTGTGGTTTAGCGTTTTTTTATACATAATCTCCGTATGATTTCAAAAACTATATATAACCGCCTTATGGTTTGGATTAAAGTGTTAAAATGATAGAATTTATAATCCATAACGGAATTAATTAAAATGTCAAAAATACCCCTATATAAAATTGAAAATTATTTATTAACTACAGGGGTTATGTACATATGTTGATAACCATAAGGAGGTTCTATAGTAAAGCATTAAATCATAAGAAGGTTATATGGTAATATATAAAATCATATGGAGTTCAAGTGTCATGCATATTATGTTTATATATTTTGGTCACTTCAACTAGTTTAATTTTTAAACAAAGGTAATTTCAACATTTTCATAAGTACCTTTATGGATGATCATTTCCGTCACTTTGACACTTTAAGTTAAACTATGAGGGGGTTATACATAACTTTTAAAATTATAAGACGATTATGTACAAATTAACTATACCATAAGGGGGTAAAGTGTAATTAGCCCCGTAGAATTAGCATAGGAAGACAATTCTAAAGGGTTAGATACTAGTATGTAGGTACAAGAAAGATTCTAGCAAGTACACTTGTTGTTTATTTATTAACCAACACGGGTTAACCAACACGGGGTCTGGATGGATTGAGCTTCTTTTTTTTCAAAAAAAAAATTTTTCCAATCAAATGTTATAATATTACACTCTCAAAATCACCTAATCCATACAAATATCAAATACAACTAATCAAAAAAATAAATAAATAAAAACCTATCACTTCTATCTTCTTCCACCCATCACTACCCACTACCCCTCCCTCCTCCACAGCCGCCTCTCCCCCTCCTCTCTCCTCTCTCTCTCTATTTACGTATTTAAGGGATATTTAAAACTGTAGATAGGTCACAGTTCTCCATCTCATGTGCACTAAACCATTAATTTGTTTTGGAATCTATTGCTGCTTTATTAGTATACTGAGTTGTTGGAAGAAGTGTCGCTTAGGTTTATTTGGTTGCTGTCTATGAATGTTTGTTATGTCGTCCATTAAGCAATGATGGTTTTATAAATGGACCGTGCAAGCCTACCTACTTAGTTTTTTATAAGTAGACATTGGGTATTGTGAGTTCATTGTCTTAATCTAATCAACTCAGCTCTTGGTCCCCTTAAGAGACATAAGACGATTCACTAAAGTGATCAATGCTGTTAGTCCGTCTAATCCACCAAATTTGATTTTTACATTCTTTTGTCTAGGTGATGGGCCAAACTACTTAACCATTAAACTAAATTCTGGGGGTCGTTGAAGTCAATTAACCAGGAGTTACATTGGAGGGGAGGTGATTCATTTTTTATTTCATAAGTCCTTTGGTTTATGTTCTCTAAAGAAAGTTTTCCATAAATATCCGAAAACTTGTAATTTAAAACAGGCATTTAAAAGCAGAAGCATAGAGTATATCAAGTTTTATGCATCCAATGCAGTTATTATTCAAGTTTAAGAAATAAAGACTTGCTAATATCTTGTTTTAGAAATGATTTAGTTATGTTGGATTATCCAAGACAAAGGCCTCCCTTTCCTTCTTATATTGTTTTTTCTGGAATTTTTAACGAATGGAAGCTTTTTTCCCTTTTAACAACGTGTACCAAAAAAGTTTGAAGATTTTATCATTTCACATGAATTTTATTTATTTTAAGCAACTAGTAAATGTTGATTGACGTGGAAAGAAAGATATTACACAACGAAACGTAGAACCTATGCAATTTTATTCTACCTTAAAAAGGGAAATTTCAAGACAAAATTAAGTTGTAATAACCCGGACCAAGTAACTTTTTTAGTAAAAAGTAATGGGTTCAAAATATTTAAACCAAATTATTGATAACATGTTCTATCTGCCAATCAATACTCCAGAATTTTTCACTCTTTACCACTAGAATTCTCAAATCTATCACTATCTTATCTCTTTATCTGTATATTTTAGATATCTCAGCGTTTTTTACATTTGAGACACTTTTACAAGTATTTAAAATTTCATTTAAGGATAAAATACTAAAAAGCCCTATGTGGTTAAGCTAATCTACAGGAAAGTCCCTTATGGCTTCAAATCATATATTTCGACTCTTCATGGTTTGAGCTAATTTGAAACAGTAACGGAAATCAACAAAACTAATGGATGCGGATGAAATGACACAATTACCCTAATATATATAAACAATAAAAGATCTTTTAACAACCATCCTATTAAGCAAACTTATAGAAAATTCCCTACGGTTAAGCTAACTTATGAAAAAGCCCCCTATGGTTACATGTTACTTTTATTTATTTATTTATTTTGTGCATAAGAATAAGGTAAGTTTTATTTGGAAGTTTTTATTTATTTATTTTATGTATAGAAATAAGGTGAGTTTTATTTGGGAATTTGTATTTATTTATTTTATGTATCGAAATAAGGTGAGTTGTATTTGAGAGTTTTGGGTTGTTTTTGAAAATTTTATGAGTTTTAAGGGGTTTAATAGGTATATTAGCTAAAAATTTGAATCATAAAATTATTTACCATATTAAGCAACCTCAAACTTGTTAATTTAAATGATTTTTGTTGATTTTTCACATTAGTTCAAACCACGAGATACTGGATTATATGATTTAAAATCATAAGGGACTTTTTTTGTAAGTTTCCTTAATCACATGGGACTCTTTTCTATTATAACTCTAAGGATATAATAGATATATCAACTAGAAATTTGTTTGTTTCTAGTACAAATACTTGCAAAAGAAACGCGTGTATTTTCAACTCGTTAATTCAAACGATTTCTGTTGCTTTTTAAAATTAGTTCAAACCATGAAGTGCTGGGGTGGATGTTTTCAAACTATAGAGGTTTTTTTTTTAATATTCATTTAACCTCAAGATACCTTTCTATATTTTACTCTTTCAATTAACGGTCAAAGACATTTTTTATAAATTTATAATTTTCAAAATTACAACGTCTATAGGGGTGGCAATTCCTGACACGACCCGAAAACACGACACGAACCTAACACGAAATTAATGGGTTTGGGTTGAGGTTTTGGGAGTTCGGGTCAGAATCGGGTCGAACCCGATGAACCCGAAAAGAAAACAGGTCAATTTCGGGTCAACCTGTGGTGACCTGATATGACCCGATGTGACCCGTTTACGAATTAAAACTAATTTAATAAACATAAAAATTATTTTATCTAACTAAACTAAATCATTCTTTTTTTCCAAAGGCATTAATTACTTAATCCTAAATGAATTTATTTAACTTGTGTGAAGTTAAAATTATTATATTTGGACAAATAATATATGATGTTATTTTTTACTTTTATGTTGTTTTAATTTAAATTATATTTGGTTTGGGATAAAACACTTTTATGGTGTTTAATTTATTTTAGATTTGGTTTGAAATTATTTATTTAAATTTTTATTACTTGATGATGTAATTAATTTTGTGAAAAATTTGATTTTATTAGAAATTACAGTGATAAATTAATAAATTAAAATTAAGTTTCGGGTCATTTCGGGTCGACCCGCCAACCCGCCAACCCGAAATTTTCGGGTTCGTGTCAGGTACCCTGACCCGTTTCGGGTTGGCGGGTCGAGTTCGGGTCAGCAGGTTCTTTGTTATACTTAAGCCTCAACCCGACCCGCCAACCCGAACCCGACCCGTTTGCCACCCCTATCTATAATGCTACTAGAATCCTTTTTATATGAGATATGACACTCGGCCTGCGTTATGGTCTATATTATATATTCAATTCTATAAAACGAAAACAAGACAGAGGATTTACCAATAACAAAACATATCCTCCAGAACCCACCGGCTCCAGTTAAATCCTGCCCATGAAGCAGTGAGAACCTTACATCATCCAACACAGCTTTCTGAAACAACGATGCCTAGAGGATAAACCAGCTTTCACTATCGTATTACATCATTACAATATTTTTAATTGTTACAAGAAGTTTGGTAACCAAAAAAAAAAAAAAATTGCTCTGAAATGTCTTCATCCAAAGAGTCATAATTAGTGTATGGTAGAACTGATTACACCATTACACTATTTTTAATTAGGGTCTGAGCTACCGCCAATGCAACTTGATTTAACTCGTTGATTGTCTTAAAAAAACAAAAAAGAACTCTGTGATTGAAAATTTTGGTTTTTTTTTGGTAAATTTTTATACACTGACAGTATATACACTATTGGATCTATATGCATATCACATATATAAAATTTGATATTTAAATTTAAATTTAGATAGTATAGTCCCCGTCAATGTATACACTAATAGTGTAGCAAAGATTAATCCTTTTTTTTTTTTGGCAAAATAGGTTTGAGTTATCTAGGCGCATCAATGCAAGTCGCAACCGATCTCAAATGCTAATTGGCCTCTACACTCGGTCTCAAAGGAGAATTTGTACTACATAGTGACATTAACAAGGAGATAAATATCAATTACTGTAAGAATACAACAAAAATTATAATATAACTATTTAAGTCTTGGCAAAAGAATGCAATAATTACACAAGTAGTATAAAATCATTCCATTTTTTTTTTGTTTTCCCCAACAATCTCTTACGAAAGGTTATGAGCAAGCTTTTTGCATCTACCCTCTTTGTGAGAGTATATTTTGATATTCCAAGTAACAAAATAGAGATTTTTGTTTGTTGGTGCTTAAATGTTGCTGGCACATGCTGATTTGGTAGTTAGGATGAAAAAACAGGAGTTATTATTTCATAATTAAACTTCCAATTTGCTTAATACAAACTTACCATTCAGGTTGTCATCGCAGCCTTGTTCATCAATTGTACAGAAGAATGTTATTTTCTTGTCTCATGCATAGAACAAGAATAACAAAATATAATTCTAAGTCCCAAATCCTATGTCGATTTAAATTTTTTTTTAAGATATTATGATCCCAGGATTTGGAGAAGCATAAGCAAGGAACTCCCCATCATTTTCCAGTACAGCCATCTCCTTTTGCTCCAATATCAACCATGCTTCAATCCCACCATCTGATCCATCAACAAGAACCACAAAATTCTTATACATGGATTCTACCTCAGTACCACCTACCAAACTAGTCCAAATTGGTTTTCCCCAGCCAAAATCGACTTCATTTAATCCTATTTTGCACCAGCTGCTGAATTGGTAAGTATTTAAATCTTTGTTACTGCACTTTTCTCCCCAGTCTTCCAAAAACTTAATCATCATATCAAACCCTCCAGAACTAAGTAATTTTGGCACAAATTCATCCTTATTTTTTTCCTTAGCCAATCTTAGTATTTTCACTAATCTTCCAAATTTTACCTCCAATTCATCAATCTTATCATATTCTGCAACGATTGGAGAACCAATATTCCCAGCAGAATATTCTGGTAGAGGTGGCACCATTCTTCTTCGCAAATCTGCTGCATGAAATATTACTGATGGCTGTTGGAAACCCTTTACTACCTTTGCTGCAGCCATTGCATGCTTCCAGATGAAAGATGACACAACTTCAACACTTGTAGGATCCGGTACGCGCTTGCTGGAACCTTTCACTTTGAGATCAGATATTGCTGGTGCACTGAACACGAATCTTTTTCGTATACTTCTTCCATCTTTGAGTAAGGATCCCTTGACCACCACCGAGAAACCAAGCGGAACAGGTCTTTAGGAGGGAAAAGCACTAGCGATTCATACCGAGGATAAGGATGACCTGGTGATTGATCATCTTGAGAACCTCTAGAAATTGCAGCCCAACATTTCAGGAAAACACTGATAGTTGTCATATCAATGACCATGTGAGAGAAACACGTGAAAATCGCAACCCCACCACATGAAAATGTGTTGAATTGAACAAAAACTTGGAAAGGACCATCTTCATGGAACTTTGAAGAGGTGCCAAGCTTGTGAAACTGCTGAAATTTTGGTAGATTTAGTAGCTCGTTGATGTTGCAATGAACATGGGCTGTGACAAATAGAGCTCCTTTATCGTTGCATTCAATAGATGAATCATCCTTGTAGACGCCTGCAAGTGGATAATAGAGAGCTAAAGTTTGGGAAAGAGAAATTTTCAGTTGATGTGTGACTTGATTGATCGTCAAATTTGTTTCTTTTCTTGGATAGAAGGAGATAAATCTCACAAGAAATCTACCACTAATTTGATCGAGAAAGGATCTTTTGAAGATTGTTAGGTGATCAGGTGTTGGGATAGATGGTTTTATTATCTCTTGGGAAATGATCTCTACTTCCATTTTTACATCCAATTATTGATATTACTTGGATGTTGTTGCTATACGACTAGGATTATCTATATAACTACGTTTTCTAGGACAATTGCTCAATTAATTTTTTTTCACAAAAAAAAGATAACTAGAAAAAGAGAAGGGTAAATTACAAGTTACCCATTGGGATTCCGTGTTCTAATGCATAATCCTCTATTGTTTTCTAACATCCATTTACCCTCCCCACCCAGCCAGAGGTGATTTAATATAAAGTAAAAAATTGATGAAAAATGTCTCTGCTAACTATATTAGCTAAATTTCAATTATGTCCTTATTTAGATATTAAAGACAATAATCACTTTTTAAAAAATTAAGGGAAAATGAAGTGGACATTATTGAACCATACATAGTTGAATACTTAGTTAAGTGAATATTTCATATTTTAACATATTAATTGCACATTTTATGCGTAACACAAAATTTTTAAATACGTTTGGGTCAATCACGATAACTGGAGGTGCTTAGCATTCATTTTTCACTTTAGATAAAATCATAGTGATGAACATGTAGATATATTATACCATATATGAGGGTGTTGTGTGGTAAAATACAATACCACAAGGTGGTAAATAGTAATTTACCCACAAAAAAAAAAGGAAAAAGCCAAGAATAGCAACCAAATAGACTAAAAGGTAAAAGCAATAAGTTTTGAGATATGAAAGAAACCAGAACGTGAGATATAACTTCAGTTTGTATAGAGCTTATATAGAATAGCGGATTGGTTCAACTCAAAAGTGGTAATGTTCTATGCTAAATACGAAGCACGTATGGGTTTACACTAAATTCATCTCAAAGAAAAAAAAAGATTTAATAAAAATGCATTACTCTTATAGTGTAAGACAAAAATCCTATAACCCAGTATTGTTATGACAAAACCAGTCTGTGCATATAGTTTGAGGGGTAGATGGACGTTAAGGAATACTAGCCTTAGCATTGCTTTTTTATCTATTTAATTGGCTATGGGTTTAAATATAAAGTTTTGTCCTTTCCAAAGTTGTAAGTTCCCCACAGCTGCTCTAATATTCATGCACACTTGTATTACAATCTTAATGATTTCTTGGCTTGAAATTATTCTTTTTTTTTTTTGTCGAAACGATAGGATACTTTCATTATAGTAAGGGAAAAATTTACAAGTGCGAGCAACGGCTCGAGAGAACTTTACAAAAGTGTTCAAAGACACTGAGGAACATTCCTTTCCTCATCCACAATAATGCCTAAAGCATCAACACTTAATTTTCTACTATCTATCATATTTTCTTCCCTACTCAAGCAAAAGGAGCACATGCAAAACAGTCTTTTCACATTCACAATATCCTCCAGCAATGTAGCCATTCTGCTCCCCATAGGCTGTGTTTTTGTTAGTTGTTTCAGCAGCTCCTTGTTGGCAAAGTTGAGCTTGATTCTGCTCCAACGATATTGCGCAGCTTTACACAAGACTAACTTTAAAGCTAGTGCATCATCTAGACTTTGGTTCCCCAGGCTTCTTTCTTTCAGCTTCCATTCTGCAATCTTGGTGCCTGCAGTTGTTCTAACTGTTACTCCAATGCCTAGGTTGTTTTGACCTTTCCTTGTAGCTGTTGACAGGTCCATGATCATAGCTCCCTGAGCTTCATTGCCTTGGCTTTGTTGATCATGCATGTGGGCTGTTTCTTCTGTGCTCGTTCTATCTTTTGATTTCTCTACTTCCACTTGCTCCAGCCACTCTCTATGTGCTTTTTCTACTGTTCTCAGTGGTGGTGATCTAGTTGAGCTCTCAAACTCCTTCTTATTCCTATCTTTCCATATTTGCCACAAGATATTCGCCGTCAATCCAATATGTTCCTTCCCTTCTGGTCTTGCCCTTGCTTCTGAGATTCTAAACCACCATCTTCTGAATTCACCCTGCTGATCCTGAGCCCCCTCCCAGTGAATAGGTGATGCCTTCCAAATGTCAACCGTGTGGGGGCATGTTAGCAATAGATGTTCAACTGTTTCCTGTGCCTCACCACAGGTTCTGCATATTGGATCTCCTATTTTTGTTCTTCTACTCACGGCTTCTCTCACTGGTAAAGCTCCTTGTATACATTTCCAAATGAAGAGCTTGATTTTGTGCTTGATGTTAAGCTGCCAGAGTGTGTTCCACATCTGTGACACTTGCTGGCTCCCCTCTATATAACTCGAGCCAGCTACCTCTGAACCACCCTTCCTTACTTTCCTGTTGTTCTTCATTTGGATTTTGTAACCTGAATTGACCGTGTACTCCCCACCTGCCTGTGGTTGCCAGTAATAGCTGTCTTCCCTCCCTGACAGACTTAGGGGGATACTTAGGATCCTCTCAGCATCATTTCTGTTGAAGACTCTAAATATGGTGATCTTGTTCCATCTGTTGTGGCAAATGAGCTCATCCACTCTTTCCAAATCACAATTGTTTGGCTTAACTGTACTTGGCATTCCTGAGATTGTCTCTGGTATCCATTTATGCTCCCAGATTCGTGTATTCCTTCCATTGCCAATTCGCCTAATCAGTCCCTTATCCAGCAAACTTCTTGCTCCCATTAAGCCTTGCCAAATCCAGGAGGCACTTTTGGGGGGATTGCAATGAAGTATAGATTCCTTAGGGAAATATTTAGCTTTTAGCACCTTGCTCACAAGAAGATTTGGCTTGGTGAGGATTCTCCATACCTACTTCCCTAACATTGCTTTATTGAAAGCCTCAAGGTCCTTGAACCCAAGTCCTCCCTCATTCCTCTTACGTGCCATTCTCTCCAAAGAAGTCCAGTGCATTTTATTTCTACCACTTGTTTCTCCCCACTAGAAGTTAGCCATCAGAGCACTGATATCTTTGCAAAGTTTCCTTGATAGCTTGAAGCATGACATGACATACGTTGGCATGGCCATAGCTATTGACTTTAGCATTACCTCTTTCCCTGCTGAGCTGAGGAACTTGCATTTCCAGTTTTGAAGTCTTCTTTTGATGTTTTCTCGAACAAAGCCAAAAATCTGGTCTTTGGTTCTTGAAATCACCATCGGGAGACCTAAATATTTTCCTTGCTTTGCCTCATTCATCCCTCCTAATGCCTGGCGTACTTCCTCCCTTTGATCACTAATCATGTTTCTGCTGAAAAATACAGCAGATTTGTCTAGATTGATCATTTGACCTGAGGCAGCTTCATAGGTTTTAAGAATATTCATGATCTCGGTAGCTTGCTGCTTATCAGCTTTGCAAAAGATGAGGGAGTCATCAGCAAAGAAAAGATGGGTAAGTTCAGGTCCTTGCCTGCTGATTTTTAGTCCCTGAATTCTGTTACTCTCTTCAGCCTTCCTCAGCAAACTTGATAGTCCTTCAGAGCAGATCAAGAATAAATAAGGGGACAGAGGGTCTCCCTGTCGTATGCCTCTCCCTGGAGTCACAAAACCTTTAGCTTCTCCATTGCAATTGAAAAAGTAAGTTACAGTCTTCAAGCAGCTATTGATCCATTTGATCCATACCGGACAGAAACCCATCTTTTCCATCATAGCCTGCAAAAAGTGCCACTCTACCCTATCATATGCTTTTGCCATGTCTAATTTAATTGCCATGTATCCATAGTTTCCTTGTCTTTTGTTTTTGAGGTAATGCATATATTCATGTGCAATCATCACATTGTCAAGGATCTGTCTATCTGGGATGAAGGCAAATTGAGTTTTACTTATGCATTTATCCAGGACAGACTTCAGTCGATTAGCAAGGATTTTAGAAATGATTTTGTAGAGTACACTACAAAGACTGATAGGCCTAAAGTTCTTCAAACTGGTTGGGTGCAAGATTTTAGGGACCAGGGATATGACAGTATGATTAATTGATTTAAGCATGTATCCGGATGAAAAGAAGGCTTTGATTGCAGGGATAACATCACATTTGATGGTACTCCAGAACCTTTGGAAGAACAAAGGAGTCATCCCATCTTGTCCTGGGGCTTTTTCAGAGTTCATAGAAAAAAGTGCTTCATGAATTTCCTCCTCCTCCACATCTTTAATCAGACTTTCATTCATTTCCTGGGTTATGGATTGAGGAATACCATCTAGAACTTCTGACATATCACCCCTCCTCCCACTGTTAAACAACTCCTTGAAAAAATCTGAGATTTCAGCCACAACCTCCTCCTCATTCGTCGTCCATGAACCATTCTCTTTCTGCAAGGTTCTGATTCTGTTACTCACTCTTCTGCCTTTAACATAGGAGTGGAAGAACTTAGTATTCTTATCACCTTCCCTAAGCCAACTGATCCTAGCTTTTTGACACCAGAAATTTTCTTCCTCCCTATAAGCTACTTTCAATTGGTCTTTTATGTGAGCTAGGATATCTTTCCTATTGGCAAAACTCGAACCCTTAACTCTATCCAAATCCTTTTTCAGATCAGTAATTCTTTGCCTAGAATTTGCTTGGAAAGTATTCCTCCACTTCAAAAGCTCAATTATGCAATTTTTAACCTTCCTAGTGACTTTGAACATTCTAGATCCTTGTTCTTCCTTACTCCAAGCATTCTCTATCACTTGTTGGATCCCCTCCCTTTGGAGCCATCTTTTATCAAAATAAAATCTCTTCTTTCTTCTCTCTTTCCCCGGTTCAGTATCTAGTAAAAGCATAGAATGGTCAGACGCAAAAGTGTCTATATGTTGACATCTAGCCTTTCCAAAAACTTGGAACCAATCCATATTACACAAACATCTGTCCAACCTTTGCCTAACCTCTCCTTCATTATCCCAATGGTTGCTCCACGTCCAAGGTTGTCCCTCAAACCCAATATCTATAAGGCTGTTCTGATCTATGAAGTCTCTAAAGTCCTCGAAACTTCTCTCCTGCCTTAGAACTCCTCCCCACTTCTCATCATTGGACAGAATGTCATTAAAGTCCCCAGCAATAATGTATCTAGGTCCCCACAGATTTCTCCTATTACTTAGTACCCTCCATTGTTCTTTTCTGATCATAGGGTCACAGCTAGCATAAATCCCAATAAACCACCAGCTAACCTGAGTATCAGGATCTTCTAGCTTAGCTTCTATCGTGAAAGCAGATTTATACATCTCCAAGATGTTAGTATCCTGACTCCACAGCAAAGCCATACCACCTGCTTTGTTCATAGCTTCAACAGTCACATTACCATTACAATTTAAAACTCTAGTCAGTCTGTCTATCACAGGCTTCATATTCTTCGTCTCACTCAAGAAAACCAGGTTTGGAGAGGAGAGGTTATATACCTCCCTCAGATGGGGAACTGTCAAGGGGCTCCCCACACCTTGACAGTTCCACACCAAAACTCTCATGAACCTAGAGGGGTCCCTTTCAGGCAGGTCCCCCTAACCTCTCCCTTGAGCTCAGCAGAATAGAATTCTAACATAGGTTTAGTCTTTTTCCACTGGATTATATCAGAATTTGCTTCCTCCATCTCTTCATCCCTCAACAAGACTTTTCTCTTACCAGAAATCGAGTGACTTGCACCATTTTCATTTAACTCTTTCAAAGCTCTCCTGCCACTGGTTGGGGACTTCAGTCTTCTGAACATCCTCTTAGCTTGTTTGTCCTTAGCCTCCTGAACCTTTCCAGACACCATAGATTCCTGGTGGGTCACTAGCGCTCCTACAGAATCCTCATTGTCCACTAGTCCTTGATTTTGGTTCTGTATCTCTAACTCTCTATCCTCCTCCCTTACTTCCACTGCCATAGGGGACTGAATTTCTTCCTCAACCTGGATCACTAGTGGGAGATCAGGACCTCTCGTTTCTAGGTTCATGAGGTCTTCACTACAATCTTGGATTCCTCCCTTGTTTTCCTCAACTACTGGTGAGGCTCCCCTCCCCTGATCTTCCTTTGCCTTTTCCCTATCCTCCCTCTCTTTCTGCGAGCTATGGCCCTCCTTATCTGGTGACAGCAAGTTTTCTAACAGACTTTGATTCAAAAGGCTCCTGCTTCTATCTTGTTCAATCAATTCTCCTTCCTGGAATCTCCAATATTTTTTGTCACTCGACCCTTCATTCCTGGAGTTTTGTTTCTGGGGTGAGCTCCTAGTATTTCCAGCTCTCAACCAGGGCCCGTATTGATGGCCTCCCATGCTTCCCCCTGTCACTCTTCTATCCTTACAAGACCTCTCACTGTGTCCTACTAACCCACAACTATAGCAAAAATCAGGACACCTCTCATACTTAAAGGCTATCCACTTCAAAGCTCCTGCAATCTTAACCACAGTACCCCTGAGCAGGGGTTTAGACAGGTCAACTAACGCTAAAATTTTCAAGTGCCTGCCATCTTTTCCTCCATTCTGAGGGATTAGAACCTCTCTTACTTCTTTGAACACAACCCCTATCTTGTTTCCTACCTCTTTAGAAAGCCAATGAACTGGCAGATTCCAGAGTTGCACCCAGAGGGGCGCAGTCATAAAGGCCCTATAATCCTCTTCTATCCCTTCCTTCCACCTATTTAGGACAAGCAGTTGATTATCCATAACCCAAGGACCACCCTCTATACTTCTTTCCTTATCAACTAGGCTTGGGATGTTAAACTGAAAGATATTTGGCCCAAGTTCCATCACTGTTATATTCCTAGGGTAACCCCAAGCAGCAGTTACGAAATTTTTTACCCCAGTAAAGTTGACAACTTTCTTACCTATAACTCTTCCTATCAGGCTTTCCTCACAGGCTCTAACTCCCTGCTGGAGATCTCCCAATTCTAAAGTGGCTCCGAGAAGCTCATTCCCCTCTAGAGAGAATTTTTTTAGGAGCTCAGCCAGGTCTTCATCCATCGAAAAAGTCAGAAAATTCAGGAAAGTATTCCACTACACATCCAGGAGGAAAACCAGAATGTAGGAGGATCGGAACAGAAAAATTAAAAAAACAAACAAGGAAAGCTATCTGGTGTTTAGGAACAGCTACTAACAGGAAATGATGAGAAAAAGAAGAAACAAAGATGAGGATTGCACACAAATATACTTCTCTAGTCGCACTACCTTTAAACATTAGACAGATGAGATAAAGACACACAGAATCTCATTATACCTGTCAAACGCATACCATAGAGTAGTTCCTTCTGTCGCTTGGACTACTGCTTTCCATGCAACGTTCATCGATCATGTTTGCCACATTGATTACCCTTTGATTCCAGACAAGAATTGGAAGTGGAGATGTTCAGAAAAGTACGGGAGTGTTGGATTTTGAAAAGGTTTGATTTTGCTTACTTTCCCACCAACGGGGAAAGTAGCTCCTATCCCAAGAGAGAGCACCTCAAGTTAGAGAGAGAAAAACCTCTACGTAGAGAGAGGAACCCAAGCCAAGTTTGATCAGTGCTTTTGAAATTATTCATACAAAACCTTTTAGATTGTTTTGAAATTTGAGTGCTCGAGGTTAAACCACAAAAAATGTGTACAATGATTGATGAGAGCGCCAGGAAGATAATTATTTGCCACCTAACATCTAGAAGGAATCTAAGAGTGTGCTGTGTCCTATGGATAACCAAACAATTAAGCACCTATATTTTATGTCTCCCTATACCTCTGGAATCTGAGAACCGGTACAGAAGCTGCTGTTTGTTTTCACTATGGCTGGGGATTGAAATGAAGGGCTTAATGGGGCTGATCAACAGTACCTATATTGAGTCCGTGGGTAATCTGACTGGTTCATAGTTTGGTAATTACCAATATATCCCATCATCGATTTTCGTGTGCTGCCTAACTGTACATTTTTGGAGCAAGACTCTACACAGATTTAGAGGATTAGTCTGATCGACAGGCTACAATGCCCCTAAGTGAAAAAAAAATAGTACCTATATTGGAAAAGCTTTTCTGAAGACTGTACCTAGAATTAAATTGCTGCTACAATCTACCAAGTATGTAGACTTAAGAACTCAAAGGGGTTTGGAATTTTTTATATCCCTCTGAGTTTATCCATGGTAAGATTGTACAGGATGCATGTTAGAAGATCTTGTATCTACACTACAGTGTATAGAGGTGTATACAAAGATCACAAAACTTGTGTATAGCTAGAGCTAGGTGTTTCTTTTTCTATGGGCTCACATATATTTGTTGTGTCCGAATTACATAGTGATAGTTGGTTCTTACAATTTGATTTTGGCATTATTAGCAAATTTGGGCCATATATCATCTCACACAGTTGTTCCTGACAACTGTGCCAACTCCTTATTTTGATAATTATCTGCTGTATTTTTTTTATTGCACTTCTGTATGTGATTGCCTAATTGAGTCATTCCCCCTGCTTTGCATACAATTACTGTCAAATATTAATAAAACATTAGATTCTTAAATAATATAGTTTGATCAGAGGGTTAAGCACACTTTGCTCCACTGAAGATATGGGGTAGTATCACCTTACCTCTTCCATCTTTTAAAATATAAATTTTACCATCTCAAATTTACATCGTTAGTGCTTTTTAACTATTACATTTCACTTCCAAAATTACCCTCAGCCTCTTACTACCCAGCCCTAATACCTTGGACTAATACCTTCCAAATTTTTTATCATTGGACTAATACCTTTCCGGCTGGTACATGTTAACCAAAAGGTGCAATACAAAAACAGAAGTCAAGCCAAATTTTTTGCACTCTAACTTCATCAAATGAGCCAAATCCTAAACGTTATGCAATCTAACTTCAACAAATGAATCACAGTAACTCTTCCTCGAATTGCTCAATTTCATCAAAGTATAAAGTGAAAACCCTATTTTTGATGTTATTGCTACTTCACAGAATCACTTCAGTGCTTCTTAAATCACTTAATTTGTCCTCTTCGTCGACCGATTCAACCGTTTAATCAAGTGAAGATTCAGTGGGTATTTGGCAATTTTTTTTTAAATTTCTCTGAAAGGGTTTCAGGGCTTTTTTGAGATTTCTTTGCCCTGCTGATTATTGATTATTGACTATACATTTTTCACTCAGCAATAAGTTTTTTTTCTTTTTTTTCTCTTCCCTAGTCATATGCCTTTTTTCCCTCCAACATAAGGCTACAATTGTACCTTCACTAACAAACCATGGCTATTTAAGTCATTCGAAGACAATTTTTTTTTAGGGTTAAATGCACCAAATCCCGCTGAACTTTACTTTAAGTTGTGCTTTGCCCTCCTAAATTCATTAAATAAGCACCGTGTCCCCGCCTATTTGATATTTTAAGACAAAAGTACCCTTACTATTTTATTTTATTTCTTTTTTGTTTATTCATTCCCTTGTTTTTCTTTTTCCACTACTTTCTTTTATTTATTTCATTTTTCCTTTTTTACTAATTTCTTTTTTCACTTCTCACATGTCACTATTTTGTTTCATTTTCTTATTAGTATTACTAATTTATATGTTTATTGTAATAATCTTTTACTTATAATTTGATTCTTTTTTTATTTATTTACATTATTAGAAAATTTAAGACAAACTATATAGTATAAAAATTTGATATATGCTAGTTATAATGAAAAAATGCATATTACTTGTAAATTGAATGTTTAGGAAGATATTAGCAAACTAGAACTTTAAGTTACTTAATATTTAAATTATATCCCAAAAAATAAAGTAATTAATAATTTTATTTACTTTTTTATGTATAGTTGATTAACTGCTACTGTTTTTATTAACAACTAATTTATTCTAAACTCTAGACATATTGATTTAAGTAATGTATGAAATAGTTTATGCATAGAGATAATATATACTTTGTTATAGAATAGACTTTATGGTCATTACTGACAAGGGTTTATTTTACGTATTTTTAGTGTGTTTTATTAGTTAATTTTGGTTTGATTATTTAAGTTTTATAACTAAAATAACTAAGGTTTTGGTAAAAAACTACATTTTATGTTAAAGTGGCTAAATATTGCATTTTATGGATTTTTATGGGAAAAACTTCATATTTTGTAGGTTTAATGATTCAATCATCAAATGAAGTGCATTGAGAAGATATTTGGATGATTGAAGATGGATTAAAGTGAGGAAAATAAAATATGAAGTGTAAAAGGAAGAAATGCAATTTGAGGACAAAAATCAAGAAAAGTCATCTTTCACAACTCAGACACATTTTCGTATTTTGACTATATCAGGAGCTACAATGATCGGATCAAGGTGATCTTGGTACCATTTTGAAGCTAAGAGATATATCTACATTTGGTATGAAGACATCAAAGTCCAATTCAGCCGTTTTCTTGGTCAAAAGGTCGAAACACAGAAACTTATCTGGATGGTCGAAAGCTGAAGCCCAGAATTGACCAGTCTATGGTATTTTGACCATATCTCAGTCCACCGATCTCCACATTAGATGATTCTTGAAGCATTGGAACTCTAATTCAAAGGGCTACAACTTTTGTGTTTTGTACAAAAGCCAGTTCGGCCTGATCATGGAGAAAATGCAGTTGAAGTGACAAAGTGAAAAGTAAAAACGCGAGTTGTAGACGCGTGTAAAGGCAGCCGAAATTCTGCAATTTGCTCAGTCAATTCTCTTGTGTTCATACCACTTTCCAGCTATAAGTTGCAAGAGAATTCGGTGCACATGCTTCAGAAGACAAAAGGGCAGACAAGGTGGCTTATTTTCAAGTCAAAAACATTTGTTATTGACTATCCTAACAAAGTTGAGATTTGGGAATCAAAATGTGGAATTTGACTTGGAAAAAGGAGCTCTTAAGCAGTTTATATGCAGAGACATTTTGGGTGGTCTGAGAAGGGGGAAATATACGGGAGAAGCTTGGAGTCTGCAAAAATGTAGCTTTTCCATTCTCTTATTGTTAGATTAGTTTAGTATAGAATAGTAGTTCATCCTTCTTGTTTATTAGCTAGGCAAAGATGAAGAAGGAGATGAAGAAGGCAAGGAAAGAGCTCATGTGACAAGGGTTATTTTTCCTTTCCAACTCTTTATCTTTTGTATTTGATTCCAAGTTTAGCTAATATACAAGTTCTGGATTTTATATTTAATATGTGTTTTTAAAGTTTATACCTTGGGTTTGGTTGAACTTCCTATGATTGTTAGTGTTTATTATTTGGCTATTTGATTGCTAGTATTTGAGCAAGTTATTTAGCACTTTGGCTCTTTAAATCATGATTAATCTGGGTCCATTAATTCTGATATCTAAGGTGTTGTTTCTGCAATGGAAATTGAGATTTAACACTAGTTCCAAGTAAGTGCTAAACATAGGGAGTACACTCAGAAAGTAAGGTGCACCTAGTGGTTTTTAGTGATCATTTCATGTAATTTCACTGAAGAAATAACTTAGCTAATTTCCATAACCATGAGAAAAGGTATGGATTAGTTTATAAGTATAATTGATTCACTAACGAAAGTAGGATTCAAATGCATAAGGAAATTACACCATAAACTAGCCTAGATGTAGTATTCATGATCCAAATATAACACTTGCAGAGTAGTTAGTGGATACCACAACCTAAGGAGCTTTTACTTGTTAATTTCCTTGTATAAGTGCAGTAAGTTAAATTCTTATTATTCATCTGATAGTCTAAATAATAAAGAAACTTTAGTAATACCGGTAATTGTTCACTCTTCCTTGTGGGATCGACCCGATATATACCCTAAACTACTAGTTGATCTGTATACTTGCAGTGAACGGGTGTAATTCGGTATTTTTTAGCTTGCACGTATGTAAAATACCCGTCAAGTTTTTGGCGCCGTTGCCGGGGAAGATTTGGCAATATCGGTGTGAAGAGCAACTTTATTAATTTAGACAATTTTTCTTATTTTTGTTGTTTTTGCTGTATCTTATGTGTTTTATGTCATTTTTTTTTTAATCAGCTTTTATTTTATT